CTCCAAAATTGTCAATGTTGTGTGCCGCGAAGGCATGGCCCTGACCACCTAGAAAAATCATGGACAACACACTGAACATATTAGATATTTTGATTTTCTCCTTCTAAAGTCATAATCATAATCGAGATGGGAAATAATTCGTTTTTGTAAAATAAATGCCCAATTTTCAACCTCAAACTCTTGCGAGAGTTCACCTAATTTGGGAGTTTAACCTACTAAAACTGTTCAAATTTAACCCATCTTTTTGCTTGGGTCCCTTTAACTAGGTTTGACCATGGTATCAGAATGACGCGACTTGCTACATGCCACGTAAGATATAAAAATGGCCAGGGCTCACGCTCTAGCATTGTACTTTTTTTTCTCTTACTCGTGGTGTCACACCGGCGAGGTTGTCTCTTTTTCTCCTCACTTGTGAGGCTTTTGTGGTCTCCATTCTTGTTGCCTCTTTTGCCTGTCATGCTTCTAGGTTGAAATTTACCTTTATGTGCGGGAAAACTGGCAAAGGACGATTGGCACACAAAGACTAAACAGAAAGCAAGATTTCGAAATACAAACTCAAGTAAGAGTTTAAGGTTGTGATGTCTTGCTTCCTATCTTTCTCAATGAAACAAATGGTATGACGAATGTTACTATGTTTGATATGAGAGAAAGAACACGCCAAGCGAGAGAGAATGAGATGGAAACAAAGACAATACTAGTGAGCATGTAATGCTCTGTCCGGGTTTATTAGCCCAACCCAAAGTTTCGATTCAGTTATATCAAAAGTATGACTAACAAATTATGAATAACATGCCATAAAAAGTACAATCATTGGTGGCAACATGCCATAAAAAGTACAATCATTGGTGCACGCTTTTAGATAAGGATTAGGGCATCTCCAACACTGACCCGCAAATCAGACACCGCATTCATCCACGGACAGGGGGCCAATCTGCGGACACGGATGTGGGAGCTGGCCATCCATAGCTAGCCACTATTTGTCCATTAGTAAAGGGTGCAGTTTGATACGTCCGTTCCCATCGCGCGCCAGGTCACACCAGCGCCGAATCACATCCTCAGTTGATCACAACCAGAAAGAGGCAAGTATGCTTAGTTTTTACATGCCCAATAACAAAAGAACATCAGTTTGGAAATCTGTGCATCTGAGCCTTCGATGTTCAATCTGCCATCGCCGTTGTGTAGGCCGCCTCTGCCTTTCGACAATCACCTCCTTCCCCGCCGCCTCGATCTCCTCCTACTCCGCCCTCTGCAGATCATCCTTCTGTCGCTGCAAAATCTTGAAACAGACCGCATGCACGGTCATTCTTGCGACGCCATCTAATTCCACCACCTTCAAGTTGATCATCTCCGCATCCTCCGAAGCAGTTGAGATCTCCACCTTTTTCTCCTCAAGCTTGGCCTTCTTCTCTTTGATCATGACCCTCTTCTCTTCGAGCTTGAACTTCTTCTCAGTCACCTTCATCAACGAGTCTAACCTCTTCATCTTTTTTCCTTCTTGATGTCGGAGCGCTTGACGTATGCCTCGACCTTCTTTGTCAATATGTCTTAGAACCACTCAGTCATCTTGGTCGTCGCTTATTGATTCGCCTTCTCCTCCTCCCATTTCTTTTTCAGAACCCTCTTCTAACCTTCTTGGGCGGTTCATTTGTTCGGTCAGTTGGGTCACCGGTTTCTTCCTCGGTGCCTTGGGCGATAGTTTTGGAAATGTATAAGTTCCACTCTAGTTGTCCATTCAACTTCAACCAACAATGCATGACGCTGAAGTTTTTCTACTCCAACTTCTTGAACGCACTATACATACAAGAAGATTGCAAAATAAAACATTGTCAAGTATGCTTATCTTGCTACCAAACTATGCTTATCTGGCTACAAATGATCTACGAAACTATGCATTTTTGGCTACAAATGATCTACAAAACTATGCATATCCAGCTACGGATGATCTATAAAACTATGCATATCCGGACACGGATGATCTACACACCAATGCATACATATCCGGCTACAAAACTATGCATATCCAGCTACAAAACTATGCATATCCAGCTACAAATAATCTACACAACAATGCATATCTGGCAAGTGTTGTACATATTAACAAACTTACCTACTCGGTGTTTTGCGCACCACTAATTCATCATGCGATGAGTTGCCTCAAGTGGCCACAATACTTCGACACGGCCTGTTGGATGGTGTACCATTGATGGTTGAGGGAGTTCGATTCATAGTTGCGGATGACCGTGTCATAGTAGGCTGCGAAATGCTTGTGTTCATGGAACCAAGTATGAATGTTGGCCCAAAAGGTTGTGTTCTTTTGCTCCATGCCATGGATTGGATCAAACTAGTAGCCAACCATGCATCGCACAATAGCTCGTCCCTCAGTATGTTGAAGCTTTCTCCTCTGTCCCTCTTCTTTGAATCACCACAGAAATCATCCGGATCATTGTCCTCACTCTCCTCCTCCTCATGCTGTTGTCCGGTGGCCCAATCCTGCCGCTGCGTGTCCACGCCTAGCTGGTTGTAGTCCTGATGCATGCCTAGCTGGGTTTTGGTGCCAAACCGTGTGTACTGCTGCGTGCTCGGTTGTTTGTAGGTGCCAAACTGGGTGGGTTCCGAGTCATCCACCCGCCCATCCTCATAGGCACCTCCTTCTTCGCCTCCCTCGTGGATGTTCTCGTACGTCTCCTTGTCTGTGCTGTCGTACGCCGACTATCCTGCTTTAGGCATACCAGCGAACAGCGTGCGGGCACCCATATGCTCCACGTCCGGATAATCGACGGAGATGAAAACTCCAAGAAAAGCAGCGATGTCACATTGACCTCGACCATGAACGACACGACGGAGGATGCCGGGGACTGCCTACCCAGCTGCTTGGCAGCATAGAAGTACAAGGCCTTGTAATGTTTTGGCCATGGCGGCATCTGCATGGTTGGTGAGGTCCCGTGGCCCAAGCTATTGGGGAACGCAGTATTTCAAACAAAAATCCTACGATCACGCAAGATCTATCTAGGAGATGCATAGCAATAAGAGGGGAGAGTGTGTCCACGTACCCTCGTAGATCGAAAGCGGAAGCGCTAGGTTAACACGGGTGATGTAGTCGAACGTCTTCGCGATCCAACCGATCAAGTACCGAACGTACAACACCTCCGAGTTCTGCACACGTTCAGCTCGATGACGTCCCTCGAACTCTTGATCCAGCAAAGGGTCGAGGGAGAGTTTCGTCAGCACGACGACATGGTGACGGTGATGGTGATGTGATCCACGCAGGGCTTTGCCTAAGCACTACGACGCTATGACCGGAGGAGCAAACTGTGGAGAGAGACGCTGCACACGGCTTGGAACAATTGTTGTGTCTCGAAGGGGTGCCCTACCCACGTATATAAAGGAGGGAGAGGGAGGAGGCTGGCCCTAGGGGGCACGCCATAAGGGGGGAGTCCTACTAGGACTGAAGGATTTGCCCCCTTCTTTTCCTTCTCACGGAGGGGGAAAGGGGAAAGGAGAGGGAGTAGGAGAAGGAAAGGGGGTTGGCGCCCCCTTCCCTACTCCAATTCGGCCTCCTCCCTTGTGGGGGGCGCACCAGCCCCTTGTGGGCTGGTTAGCCTCCCTCCTATGGCCCATATGGCTCATATCTTTCCGGTAACCCCTCTGGTACTCCGGTATGTACTCGATACACTCCGGAACCCTTCCGGTGTCTGAACACCACCTTCCAATATATCGATCTTTATCTCTCGACCATTTCGAGACTCCTCGTCATGTCTGTCATCTCATTCGGGACTCCAAACAAACTTCGGTCACCAAAACACATAACTCATAATACAAATCGTCATCGAACGTTAAGCGTGCGGACCCTACGGGTTCGAGAACTATGTAGACATGACCGAGAGTCCGAGACACATCTCCGGTCAATAACCAATAGCGGAACCTGGATGCTCATATTGGCTCCTACATATTCTACGGAGATCTTTATCGGTCAAATCGCAATAACAACATACATTATTCCCTTTGTCATCGGTATGTTACTTGCCCGAGATTCAATCGTCAGTATCATCATACCTATTTCAATCTCGTTACCGGCAAGTCTCTTTACTCATTTTGTAATGCATCATCCCGTAACTAACTCATTAGTCACATTGCTTGCAAGGCTTATAGTGATGTGCATTACCGAGAGGGCCCAGAGATACCTCTCCGATACACGGGGTGACAAATCCTAAGCTCGATCTATGTCAACTCAGCAAACACCATCGGAGACACCTGTAGAGCATCTTTATAATCACCCAGTTATGTTATGACGTTTGATAGCACACAAGGTATTCCTCTGGTATTCGGGAGTTGCATAATCTCATAGTCAGAGAAACATGTATAAGTCATGAAGAAAGCAATAGCAATAAAACTTAACGATCATTATGCTAAGCTAACGGATGGGTCTTGTCCACCACATCATTCTATAATGATGTGATCCCGTTTATCAAATGACAACACATGTCTATGGTTATGAAACTTAACCATCCTTCATTAACGAGCTAGTCAAGTAGAGGCATACTAGGGACACTCTGTTTTGTCTATGTATTCACACATGTACTAAGTTTTCGGTTAATACAATTCTAGTATGAATAATAAACATTTATCATGATATAAGAAAATATAAATAACAACTTTATTATTGCCTCTAGTGCATATTTTCTTCACAGTCTGCCCAGACCTCCACCTTGTACGCGACCTGCACGCCCACCACCTCGTCTGCCACCAGCACACTCTCCACCGACCTTCTGCTTCTTGAGTTTTTCCTCCTTTGCTGCCTTGGCTTTGACACAACTTTTTTGCCGTGTCGCCGAGTTGATCTTCCTGTCGAGCGTGATGCTCGGATCCTCCATCACCTCCGTCTTCGGTAGGGGCTCCTCCGGGTCCATGGGTCAACGGCGGGAGGGAAGAAGAGAGTGGGGTAAAGGGCGAGAATTTGATGGAGAGTGACAAGACAAAAGAAGTGAGTGAGGGATTGTACCATGAAAACAGTGCAGACAGCTATAAAGCGCGGGCTCTGCCTCAGTTTCTGGTGAGTCGGGGGTGTCGGAGTCCTACGTGGCTCATGCTCGGACTCCGGTAAAGTCCTCAATTTGTTTCGACTTTGCGAAAAAAATTATGATTTAGACTACTCAGTGAATCGATGAGGTTAGCGTTGAATGGCTTGCGGAGTCCGGACAGCTGCGTCCGGACGGATACCGTTTGAGGGTCGAGGAGATGCCCTGAAGCCCCTGGTTGTAAATCTGGACGAGAAGCATTAATTAGCTAGCTGCTCGCGCTTTCGACGAACAGGAATGGGAGATCCGACGATCCAACGGCGAAAACGAAAGGAGGCGACCGCAAGCAACCGTGTCCAAAGAAAGAAAAAGGTGTGACCCACAAGCCTCTCGCTCGCGGCTCTTGCCCACCCACCCACGTAATATCCTTGCGGGAATATCCGCCACGTGGACGGCCACACGCGCGGAGCTCCCTCCCTTCCTTCCCTTCCCCGGCCCCGACCACCGCAACCAATCACCACTCCACAGTCAATCCCCTCCCCTCCCGTCTCCTCTGCTCTCATCACCACCACACTTCGCTTCTCCTCCCAGCCCACCTCTCCTCCCCCCCTTCCGGCGCGCGCGGCCGCCTGGTTCCAACACCGGCGGGTGCGCTGGCGGCTCCGGGGATGACGAGGCGGTGCTCGCACTGCAGCCACAACGGCCACAACTCGCGGACGTGCCCCAACCGCGGGGTCAAGATCTTCGGGGTACGCCTCACTGATGGATCCATCCGCAAGAGCGCCAGCATGGGGAACCTCTCCCTGCTCGGGGGATCCACCAGCGGCGGCGGCGGCGCATCCCCCGCTGACGTCGGCCACGACGCCGCCGCAGAGGGCTACGCCTCCGACGACTTCGTGCAGGGATCATCATCCGCCAACCGCGAGCGCAAGAAAGGTGGCCTGCTAATCTCTCTCTCCCTCCCTCCTCTAAAGACGTCTACTTTGTGGCTCAGTTCCTCAGCCGACGCAAAACCTCACATGGTAGATTAGATCCTCTCAGCTCCAATTGTTTTTTCATGCCCGTGTATAATTCTTTTTGCGTGTGCTGCCCTGTCCAATTATTGATTGCGACGGTACTGTTAGCTTTCAAAAATCCAGTTGGGAGAAGCTGCAATGGTATTTTCCAGCACTGTAGACTTGGATAACTTGATTCTTGAGCTAATAATCAGCCCCCAGTATTAAATCGGTGCAAGGATGGTGTATACACTGTGGATGTTGTTTGATTGGATCATGACTTATGACAGATGTTTTTAGAAGCTCAGGTATGGATTCGTTTAGCAGGGACTACGGATTATCAAGAGCGGCGATCATAGGTGATTCCAGTGGAAAAAAGCGCGCGAAGGCGCTAGGCGACAATATAACACCTAGCGCTTAATCATGCTACGTGTGCGCTTAAGTGCACCTAGGTGAGATAAACGCTAGGCCGTGGCAAACCGCACAATTAACGCCTAGCGCTTTCTTTTCCTTGGATGATTCATCATAAATTTGGCTTTGCTCTGTGCTTCCGGAAGCGTGTATAGAGCCACGTAAGACGCTGAGCTGACGAACTAACACGTAACGTAAAGTCTCACCTTTGGTATAAATGTGGTACTGCATTATGATGCAATCGATATTTATATAAAGCATTTTTAGTTGCCTGCACAGCTACATTCTGCAAGGAAAGATGTTAATTAAGATTAATTAGTTAATACCAGTGAATATTTGATGTACACATGCCAAAGATTGACCGTCTTCATTGATTTTTATTACTGCTAGTTTCTTCTCACAATCCCTGAGTTGGTGATGACCAGTGATTAGTGTCTTTGTATATTTAATCTCGGTTATCAAGGTTGGGGTTTTAATTTTCAAGTCAAGCTACAGCTGGAAATTCTTCAAAGCAAAACATATTTTTATTTATGGCGCTCTCCAATTTGGGATTATAACCAATAGAGGGTAACGACAGAATGTAGATTTAGTTGCCCTTTGCCTGTTTGTTGTTATCTATCCAAGCTAGAAAATTTGATTGTAATTTTGTAGTGTTGTCTTCTTGACGTGCTATATAGCTTGTCCAGGGATAGGAAAAACTTGACATTTGTCGCACACCCTTTTTTGTCTGGCTTCATTGTTTCATTTAAGGACATTTTACGTTTGTCAGTACTCTACTGACGCGGTGATGAATTTGCCAGTTATGTTCACTAGCCTCTTCTAGTTTCATGTTCCACCAGAGGTGTTTTTTTGTGCAATTTTAATGTGGTGATAATACACTCCTTAAAATGTTCCATTTAACACAAATACACAATAACAGTGTACTGTTTCTTCTTGTGCTTCTGGTTGTAAGTCGTCTGTTTTATCAGTTTCTGTATATCTTGAGATGATAAGCCCTTCCTGCATGGCTGTGTGCAACGTTTTATGTGCCATGCTCCTGATTAAGATGGCTTTTTGGCAGGGGTTCCTTGGACTGAAGAAGAACATCGGAGGTTTTTGCTTGGACTGCAAAAGCTTGGAAAGGGTGATTGGCGAGGAATCTCTCGTAATTTTGTGGTCTCAAGAACACCTACTCAAGTAGCAAGCCATGCTCAGAAATATTTTATACGCCAAGCCAATATGAGCAGAAGGAAGAGAAGGTCTAGCCTCTTTGACTTGGTGCCTGATGAGGTAGGTTGCTACATCTTATGATTAATTATTACACCTGTGTGGCATAACTTGACCTGATTCTGTTTATGTAGTACCGCAAGGGGATTACTCGTTTCTGTGGTGGTAGTTACAATATCACTACCTTAGTTCCTCATGCTAGAAATCTATCTTTTTGAACAGATTGTGTAGTGTTGCATGGACAGTTGTGCACTTCTCATCTCGCATTTCATTAGGAAGATATTACTTTGCACTTTGTATATAACTCAGAACTGAACGGTATCTTGTGTATTTTACAGTCAGACCTGCCACCCCTACCTGGTAATCAAGAACCTGAGGCCCAGATATTAAATCACCCACCATTACCTCCACCCATGGAGGAGGAGGAGGTAGAATCTATGGAGTCAGATACTTCTGTCATTGCAGAGAGTTCTTCAGCTTCTGCTATCATGCCTGAGAATTTGCAGTCGAGCTATCCGGTGCTAGTTCCAGCATATTTCTCACCATTCTTGCAATTCTCAGTTCCTTTCTGGCAAAATCAGAATGATGGAGATGATCTTGGACAAGGAACACATGAGATTGTTAAGCCTGTTCCGGTTCATTCAAAGAGTCCAATCAATGTTGATGAACTGGTGGGCATGTCGAAGCTAAGCATAGGGGATCCCAAGCAAGATACAGTATCTACCTCTCTTTCCTTAAAAATGGTAGGAGGTCAAAATAGACAATCGGCTTTCCAGGCGAATCTCCCAACGAGGGCTCAGGCGTGAGCCCCCTCTGCACACAAACTGCACTTAGATGAGCCCTGGCAAAAATAAGCTTTGCCTCTTTTCCTTTTCTTTTCTTTTTAAGATTAACTGTGGTCTGTAGTCTGTCCAATGTACCCTGTGTTGTAAGTTATGTTATGTATGGATGCATCTGTTGTTTGTATGGTACATGATATGCCAGTGCATGTTGACAGAATCATTAATGTTAGTGCTGATCTCCAGGGTTGTACTGCAAACTCTTATATAAGAAAAAGAAATATCAGTCAGTTATTGGACCTTTGAAGTGAGCTCTGCTCATTCTGTTCAATACAATGTTCATTACTGAATGATGAATCAATGTCTTCAGATTTTGTCCGGATACTGGAAATTTGGAGCTGGCCATCCAGTCACTCAAGACCTTATGGTTGAAAGAAGCCATGCTAAATATTTTACCAATGAGTGCTGCATGATTTTATTCTTATTTGGTTGGCATGTGTCTATATGGTTTAATGTATTTGTGGCAAGAACAAACGGATTATTGGATTCTCCTTCGGGACAGATGCTATATCTGGGATATTCCCTGGGACTGTACCTTTCAATCCTGATTCTGCATTTGCACTCACCTCCATTATGCACCAAGTGTTCCAAGTGTGGTTGGTGACAGACAGTAGTGGCTAGTGGCCAGTCCCTTTCAGATATATCGACATATTTCCAAAGCTGTTGGGCTGTGCACGAATGCATTGTTTGGCCATCCAAGGACCTGTCACTTTTACATCTTTAGCAAAAGTCATAATGCATAATCAGAGAATCCAGCCCCTCTGAGAGACTGTTCACTTATATATTTTTTCTCTGAAATTCAAAAGTTACTTCATATCAATACTTCCACCGTTTGAAATGGCCATATGTAGGAACTGGCAGCAGCTGCTGCAGGCCTGTCAGGCAACACAATTAGATGCAACCATACTTACAAACTTATCTGCTAATCAAAATCCTGTACTATGTTTTCCCTTGCAGGTCTGATGGAAATACATTCAAGTTCAGAAGTCGCTAGGAGCTCGGGAGTTGATTTTCCTTTCTCGCCTCTCCTTTAATCCTTTTCCTCCTCTTCCTTATCCTCTTCCTCCCCAACAATCTTCTTCCAGAACCAATGCCTCCTCCAGACCTGCTCCATCTGCTCCATCGGAAGCTTCTTTGTCTCTGGCAAGAACAGATAGACCACTAGCGTCATCACGCAAATCCACGCGGCAAAAACGAAGAACGTCCCTGACTTGATGCGGCAGAGGACGGCCAGAAATGTCTGGCCGATCACAAACGTCATCAAGAAGACCACGGCGACCACAATGCTCTGCCCTGCTGATCTAATCTCCAGTGGGCAGATCTCGGTCGGGACGAGGAATGTGAGAGGTCCCCATGACCATGCAAAGCCTGCCACAAACACGCACATGGTGATCAACACAAGGAAAGCATAGTCCTTATCCATCAACCCATCGTCCTTGAACTTTGCGGCTAGGATGGCGCCGACAGCGAGCTGTGACAAGATCATCTGGATACCACCTACGAGGAAGAGCTTCCTGCGCCCAAACCTGTCGACCACCAACATCGCTACGATGTTAGCAAATGTTGCGCAGAGACGTGTGACGACCGATGATAGGAGGGAGGCGCTCTCCTTGAGGCCGATTGTCCGGAACATCACAGGGGCATAAAAGTTCATCACATTGATCCCGGTGAGCTGGTTGAAGAAAGGGATCAGCAGTACCATGGCGAGCTGTGGCCTGTACTTCCTCTTGAATATGTTTCTGAATGGATATTTTGCTGCCCTCGAGAGGTTGCTAGCAGAGACCAAGTCATCCAGCTCATTCTGCACTGAGGTGGTTCCACGCAGCTTCTGGAGCAGGGCTCTAGCCTTGTCGGTGTCGCCGTCCCGCTGGATTATGAAGCTTGGCGTCTCGGGGAGGAAGATTGCACCGATGGTCAGGAATGCAGCAGGGACTGCGGCCATGGATAGGGATATCCTCCAGCCCCACCCTGCTGTGAGTTTCACCACGCAGTAGTTGAGGATGTTTGCAATGAGAATGCCGATGCTGATGCTGAGCTCGAACCCATTGTTGATCGCACCGCGGTACTGCGGCGGCGCCATTTCCGACAGGTACAATGGGATCGACTGGAAGAAAAATAAGTAACAGTAACCACAGTAAGGTATTTAGTCTACTTCACAATGTATATTTAGAGAAAGAAAAATATTATCCATAAACATCACATGCACTTGCTACAAGATAACACAGCTTATCGTGTAGTCAAATGCAACGATTCTTTGGGATTTGGGAGATAGACATGTAAATTGTCATTGTAAACATGTAGCTATCCATTGTCATCAACTTGGAGTTTGGGACAAATTACATCTACAGGAATCTTATGTCTGTACACAAAGCTTGTGTCACTGCTTCTCCAGCTCCATACAGCCGCACAAAATTTGTGAACTGATGCAGGGTCCGGGAGGATGATCTTTCTATTATCCAAAAGAAATGTATACATGTCTGACGATATTTCGCTGTGCTACTGATTTTTTTTAATCTCCTGAGCCACATGTACACACTGACTTAAAGGATCATTGGCTTGAATTGTTGCAGAGAGAGTTACCTGGTTAGTGAACCCTAGGCCTATTCCCAGTAGGATCCGGTTGAGGAGCAGCATGGGTACGTTCACGGCTGCTCCCCCGAACGCCGAGCCGGCAATGAAGACGGTTCCACCGATCAGCATGGACACGCGGCGGCCAAACCTCCTTGTGACAGATGACGCGAACAGCGTTGCGATGAGGCCAGCGATGTAGAGGGAGGAGGTGAAGACGGTGAGGAGCTCGCTGTCGAACTGGCAGTAGTTGCTGACGTTGCTGTCCTGCTTGTGGCGGTACACCTCCGGGAAGAACGTCTTCAGAAATGAGTCCATGGAGGTGACACCACCTGGAAAAATTCAGAACCGCATGCATTCAGTTTCAGGGAATTTGGAAGAATGCATACGCAGAACTAAAGTTCATCGCGTAATGTTGACCGAATCCATTGCCCAATGATGGACTAAACGCATGATTCTTTTCCTTTTCTATAATCCCTCTAAAAGGCCTAGTCCTAGATCATTTTGACCTGACGAAAAATGGAACAGAGGAAAGCACCCTGAACTCATCAGCTTTTGTGTCCCAATGATGGAAGAGAAAATCTGCACCACCACGAGGCACTGAAGCCATGAATGCACCACAAGTAAGCCATGAATGCCACCCGCAAAAAAAAAAAAGCGCCATGAATGCCATTTTAATCCCTTCCAACTCCAGCTTCTAACTTTCAGTTCTCATATTCCTTTCCCGTTGAGCCCAAGAGGGTTAACAATCTACTCTAGAAAGAAGGGAAGAAGACAGGCGGACCGGAGATGCCGAGGTCGTAGCCGAAGAGGATGCCGCCGCTGCCGGCGACGATGCAGGTCAGCACCACGAACGGCGTCACCCGGCCGCTGTACCCGCCGGAGCCGGCGGCCGGCGCGTCCACGGACGCGCCCATCGCCATCACTCCCTGCCCTTGCTCTCCTATTCCTAGTCCAAGAGCAGAGTGTCGTTTCGCCGGAGAGAGGGAGGGAGAGAAAGAGGATATATAAATTTATCGGCGGATGGATCGCTGACGTGCGCCCACTCCGGCGAAAAAACGGCCGCACGTCGCCGGCGAGGTTGACTGATACTAACCTTTGACTACCTCTGGGGTCCCACTCGTCGGTGGTCCTGCGGATTCCTTTTTTTCTTCAGCGGTGCCCTGTGGATTCTGGGGTTTCGATTTTGTTGCTGGTGGAAATGATATGAGCAGGCCCACTTGAGCCCAACTAATTACTAGATGGGCCAGGACCCAGGAGGTAGCTCGGTTACTCACTTGGTATCGGATGCC